AAAAGAGAGTTTATTACAGAGAAATGTCTCTTTCCAAAATAAAAGCTGTACTATCCGCTTCTTCTGGGCTATATTCTCAGCAGCATATTAAACATATAAGGTGGCTGAAGGGGTCAGTCTTTTTTGTGTCCTTACATACAATGAATAAGTCAATGCACAATTTGAATATTTAGTTTCCCAGTCTCGAAAAAAAGAGAAATAAGCAGAGAAAAAAAATACAAAGCAGATTGTAGCACAATGACCTGTGCAGTTGAAAAAGAAAAACCAGAAAGAAAAAAGTTTTTAACCTCAGAATACTTTGAGTGCTTTCATGGCCTCAATATGTTGAGTATTTTATTGTTGGCTGCTTCCTTTTATTTATTCCTCATACATGAATTTTATCTGTATCTCTCTGTTGGCTTTGTCACCCAAGATATTTATAAAAAAAGATGTCAGCCCAATAAAGATTCAGTTAATTCAAGAGAAGGTGAAGTGTTCAAGTAGAGCACGGCATAGGATAAAGAAGCAACGTATTGCCTGTTCAATGCCATCTGTTGTATTTTTGTTTGCACAAAAAACAACTGATTAATCCTTCAAAGTTCTTTGGAAACACTAAAACATGTATTTCAGGCTAAGTGAATAATATTTAAAGGTTACGTGAATAATAAAGAGAACATATATCTTTTCAGTTACTGCCTGTCGAGTTCTGAGAAGCCTTTTAGTTTAGATGAACTTTGTACTCAGCTTGAATTCACAGAAGCTACAATAAGTTTAATTAGAAGCCCAGTGTTGTTTGAAAAAGGAGCAAATCTCCTGTTGCACTGCTGGTGTTTTGCGCACTACGTTGCAATTACTTTAAAGAAACAATGCAGAGGAAAAACGCTCAAGAGACTGTTAGAGACGGATTTCACATGCAGCTTTTTATTGTCATCCCTCTTATCCTGTTGATTTTTTTAACCCTACTTTGCTCTCTTGCAGTTCAGCCTTTTGTTAATTTGTGCCTGTTTGACACTGAAGTAATTGTGTTCATGCTGTGTGTTAAAAAGGCTGACACTCTACACTTAGATTCATGCTAAGCTTATTGTACAGCAGTGACTACAATACGCCATGGATCTGATTCTGGCTCCTTCACTGAAATACTGTCTGGTTTAGTTAAACAGGGTGGGTTAGTAGTAATAGACTATATGTCGTAAAAAGGTTTGCAATCAGTTATTAAAAAAAGATGAAAAATATCTGACATCTAACATAAAAACTATATTGTTTTCAAGGTTATTAGTTCCCTTTATCGTCCCCCTCCTGTCTACTTACTATTTTGTCTTTTAGTATCTTCCATGTCAAGTCTGTCGTGTCTCCGTTTTAGTTTATGTTTTGTCTGTGTCAAGCTCATGTGGCTTAGTCTCTCAGTGTTTGTGCTTCCTCGTTTCCTTTGATAATCCCGTGTCTCCTGTGCTTCATGTTCAGCATTGCCTTCCCTGTCCTGTTATGCCTGATTTTTCCCTGCTGTGTTTCCCAGCTGTTTCCACTCCCTCATCACCTTTCTGTGTGTATTTCCCAGTTTCTTGTACCTCCTATTGTCATTCCAGGATTAGTTCATGTAATTCGATGTTTTTTTTTGTTTGTTTTTTTTCATGTTTAGCTTTTATGGTGGTGGATTATTAGCTCAATAAATGAATCACCTTTTATTAAGATTAATCTGTCTCATTTGGGTCCTCCACATCACACTTCGCATGGTCTGTTTATGAGGCTAAAAAACAAAAAACTTGATTTATTGAGTCCCCGATGCTCCGTGAGTGGTTTGTCGCAAGCTGGGCGACGTATTAGCCAAAGTCCTAGCAGCATTCGCGACTAACGTAAGCTTTGTGTCAATGTGATATTTTAACCTGGAAGTGCCTCAGGGAAAACAAAATTCCTTCTTGCACAATGTGCGTAATACTTTATGTGGGTCGACTGTTCCATCTTGTTACTTTTTTAATACTCAAATTTCCCATCGAGAGGGCAAATGTGCCTTTATCATCTTCCATATTGGTTCATTGGTTCTGGTCACTACCAGATCAACTGCCCATTTGCACATGTGCGAAGGCAACTTTACTTGGACAAACTGCCCGAAATGCGTTGACAGAAACTTTTCGGGGATTCTGAGTCATTCTACACTCCAGATGCGTTAATTGTATTAAAAATTTTAATTGTGCTGACCTTGATGTCGGATTAATTTGCGTTAACGCGTTAATTTCGACAGCACTAATATATATATTTTCACATTTTGGTGGTTGTGTCTGTGTTATGGTATAATTTGTCATTGAAGTCAGTTCATTTCTATTTATATAGCGCCAAATGACAACAGCAGCTGCCTCGGGGTGTCGTATATTCAACCATTAATTTTGAAGTCTTTCACATGTCTTCAGATTACATTATGTAGCAACTGCATTTGGCTTGTTCGTGTTAGTTCTATTTCCCATAGAGAGAAATGAGTGTGTAGATTACTGTACATTATTGAATTTACTTCAATCTATAGGGAAAAATAAACTAGCTTTCTTTTTAGCTGTACTTTCTGCTCTTGCTAGCTAGCTGTGTAACAAGGAGATAAACAGAGACAAAAGCAAAAGTCTTGATTTATCTTTGTATTTATTTATTTATTTTTTCATAACAGCAAATGGCAAAGAGAAATTAAGTAACAAGCTGCCTATTGGAAAAAGGTTACTGCATGAATAACTGATTACCTGAAATGTAAAACTAATCCTTTATGTTACATATTATAGTTTTTTATTTTTTAAAAAGTATTTAATGCTGTCTCCTTATCCCTAATCACTTTCCAATGCCTTACGCCCAACACCATCAGGCAATAGTGACAGATCCATATTGCTTCCTACATGATTTTGTTGTGTTCCTTCACATATTTCTTTTCTCTGGAGTTATTTTGGTTGTAATTTCTAATCAAAACATTCTTTTTGCCATAGGAAGAAATGTTGAGATTCCAACATTTGGCTTTTTAAAAACCACAAAAAAAAAACATTTCATATTTTAAATTCTTAAAAGAAACCCTGAAAAACTACATTTTTCCACTGCCTCTATGAACTTTAGATGACACGCTTACGGAAAGCTTTGGTACTTTAGTGCAGCTTTACATTTTAGTCCAAAAGCTTTTTGTGCTTCTGTACCGCTCATAATTTAAATGTTCAAGGACAGAATTAGTGAGTCAATAAAGCTTTTGTATTTTTTGTAAGTTTAAAATCATACTTTAAAAAAAATGTCCTTCTTTACTCACCTACTTGTTCCTTTTCTCTTCTGCAGTCCTGGAATTTGCCCCTGTCTTTCATGTAAATGCATTTTTATGTGAATGTTTTTTAGGTATGAAGGAGAATTTGTGCAGGGGAAGTTTCAAGGTGTCGGCGTCTTCACTCGCTTTGATGGCATGAAGTTTGAGGGCGAATTTAAAAGTGGCTGTGTGGATGGCTATGGTAAGACCTTATATTCTCATACTCACTATTAGATTATTTAGAGATTTTGGATGAGATTGACATTGCTAGCATCTTAGTTTTTGCATACTCTATTACTACCTTTAAATATGATGTATCAGGTAATTTGGATTTCATTTGGAGGAATTCTTCAGTGTTATGTGAGTTAAAAGGGAAGCCTGCTTTATTGCAATGCTGTCTATGAAAAAACATTTTGAAAAGCTTAAAAGTATCTAAATTTGGAAACCTCTGGCTTGTGTTGCTTGCTGGACTTTAATGTTTATGCTTTTTTTTGATTGTTTAAGTTATTAAATTAAGGTAGTAATTCAGATGTATGTTTTCAACTAACCCTTCAGTCTCAGTGGTTTATCTGTCTGTGGTTCCAACTACTTTAAGTGTTTTTAATTATATTAAACAGTGAAAGGTGCTAATTGTCTGGTCTGAAGCTACCGTGTGTCTGGGCACAGAGTCTCTGTAGGTAATCAACACATTTTTTATTTGAAGGCTGTTGTGTGGAGAGGGCGGATCAGTGTGTCAGTGTGACAAGTGGTGATTTGTTTGTGCTTGTAAAAAAAAGAGATGGAACATAAAGATTCCTCCAGTTTCCTGACAGTTGAAGACCAGAAATCAGAGCTGGTTCGAGCGGTGGTTTAAATGTAATTTTTTGTTGATTGTTATTATCCCGAGTTCCCAACTCTCAGCTGAGGTGATGTATTTCAAATGAAGAAATTAACTTAAAATTTAAAAGTTAATGTAAAATTAACTTGAAGTTATTGCCATGGCTTCTTATAGCCACATTTAGGACCAGAATTTAGTTGTTGTGAGTCTGAGTAGCAGTTCTATACTGTGTTTGGTGTAAGTAGCACACCAAACATCAGTGTCACATATTTTCCTGTTCCTAACCAGCCTTGAACCAATTCAAAGAGCAAAGGTCATGTGACTGCTCAAACTCCTGGCTACACTGCTGAGTTCTAACAGCTTAACATGATACATCAGATACTTGGGTGGGGTGCTCTGCCACAATACAAAAGGTGTTCAGCTACCCTGAACACCCCCCACCCCCCCAACACTGGCAAAAAAAGGGGTTGAGAATAAAGTTGAGATATTTTGACTACATGATATACATTCAATGGATATGTTATTAGGTACACCTTGCCAATTGGAACCCCTTTTGCCTTCAGAACTCCTTTAATTCTTTGTGTCATCAACAACTGTGCCACATTCAAAGTCACTTTAATCACATTTCTTCCCCATTCTGTCGCTCGGTGTCTGATGCTCAGTGATAGGCTGATTAGATGTTTGCGTTAACGAGAAGCTGAACAGACGTAAGGTTGTATAACAGTTAAATGAACATGCTTACTAAGCAAATTTAAAGACTTTTGAATGAATGAACTACAATACAAATGATATACAAGTTTTCATTTTTTTGTTCAGAATTATTGTGTCGGTGTGATTGTTTTATTTTAGTCAGGCACAAGTAATGTAGGGAAGAACATTTAAAATATGAAGAAGGAGGAAAAGCGGACATTCCTTGTATAAATTCATTTGATGAAGGCTTTTAATACGTTTTCTTTGCTGCTTTAAATTTTGTTAGCAATTTTTTGGTATTGTATCCACTTTCGTTGTTTTTGTCATGTGATCTCCTAAACACTGAGGCAATATTTTAACATGTTGGGAACTAAACTGATTTAATCTCTTGCTTGTTGGATGAAGCCAGTAGTTGGTTAGCTTAGCTTAGCATAAACACTGCTCTCCTGGCCTCGTGCAAAGGTAGCAAAAAACAACTTTCTACCACATTATTTCAAGCCAAAGCTAACACTTTGTTTCTTGTTTGTTACATCTGTACAAAGCTCAAGAGTAAAGATGACAGTCTGTCATTTTAGGGGCTGTTATGTGACAGGCTACAAATAACCTGCTGGACTCCCCAGTAGTTGCCAGGCAACTTGTCCCAAAGATGCGAAAGCAGCCTTCAGAGTCAAAGTCTGTGCTGTGTACATGGACCATCCACCCTTTGAACCCCCTCCTTCTGACTTCTGTGAAGCATAAGAACATGACACACTGCCAGTGAACATTAATCCAGGCAGCAATTACATTTCCTGCTAAAGCAGACAGTTATTTTCAGAGACAGAAAATTCAAAACAGTCCATAAAGGCAGCCAGATCTGACACTTCTGGCCATGTGTCACTTGTTTGATGAAGTGAGTTGTGTCTCGAGTATGGCTGTTAGTCAGTTTCCTCCGTACCTGTTTGCTTTGATAAAATGCATGATGAGAATTTTGTGTGGTGCAGGAGTGCTGGCGTTTGTGGACGGAGGCCCCGGAGGAGGAGGAGGCACCCACGAGGGTCTGTTTGAGACCAGCCAGCTGATGAAGAGAGAGAACAGCCAGGGAGCTGTGCAGCGGGCGCAGGCGGCAGCTGCCAAGGCCCGAGCTCTGGCCATGTGACGTGGACTACATCACCCACAGTGCCCCAGTACCAGAATCATCCTCCCAACACTACCCCCTTGGTTTGAGGTGTTTAATTTTTCCTTTAATTTTATTACTCTTTGGTTCCTTCTCATCCACTTTTTGTTGGACTGGTAAGTTAGTTTTTAGGATTTTATTCTTATACGTCTGTTCTATCTCTCATTCATGTAACATGCGGTATGCGCAGAGAAGAAATGAATGGCTCCCTTAAGTTTTGTCAACACAGCCACTGAATCAGGATCTGCTGAGCCAAACGCAGATTTAATGTTCAGTTCACACACTGGTGCTAAATCTGTTTCAGGGTCAGGTAATCTGACAAAACACAGAAGTGCATGTGGACGTTTTCCAGTAAACACTGATTTGGTGAGTTTCATGTCAAAAGAATATCTGACATGTGAGTTTAAAGTGACCTAAATTTATTTTAAAAAAGAAGACAATATTTATGTTTCAAAGTGAAAGTGCACAAAAAAATAGTGAGACTTTATATTTCTGAATAAATTAACTATTAACAAATGGTAGATAAACAAAAGTAAAACAAATTATTCTGATTTGATTTAATGTTTATTTTTACTGGTGAATTCTCAAGCCTAACAAATATAAAAGTCATAACTGGTTTAAAACCAAAGATTACATTTTTAATTTTTAATCACAGTTTTATTCAAATTTATTGATGTAAAACTTGTGTTAGAGCTGTTTTGTCTTCAAATATTCAGCAGAGCGCTACAGACCATGGCTATAACAAAGGACGTAAATGTGGTAAAAAGTAACTTTATTGCATTACACAGCAGACAACCAACAAACAGGGGACAGGCACATTTTCATTATTTACATAAAAAATACAAACGTATTTGATTTAATAAGAGATTATTCATTTAGGAACAAAAGCAACAGTAGATTCAGTACTCAATTCTAGTCACTTGAATTAGTGTTTCAGCAGCACTGACATGCTTTCACATGGAAATGAAGTCATTCATATACGTTTAGAACAAAATGTCTAAAAACTTTATTTTATAGGTCTCAGATTTTAATGAGCGGTTTCAAAGAATTCTGCCATGTGATTCTAATTAGAGTCAAAATACAGACCATGAATAAGTGGAACGCTGTTATTTACTTCATTGCTTGAGACAGTGTAGCAGAAGTCAGCTGACACTGCAAATATATAAACAAAGCTTACAGTTTCAGATACTGTTTGTATAAATGAAATTTACAATTACAAAGAGAAATGAGTTACTGCTTGAGAACTGTCCACATAGGTCAGCTCTAAGGAAACTTACACAACAATGGATTGCCTGTTTTTAGTCAAATTAAATATAAGGGGAAACTATTCAAAAAGGTGTCAACAGGCTTCATTCTTACTTACCACTAAATCTGAAATAAATCAATGAAAGGAATGTTTATTTTCATATCAGCACTTGTTTTGAACATCAGCTCACCAGATCAGTACTTTCTGGGTTTCCTACCTTCCCTTTAAAATGCGTGTTTTTTTTCTGACCTCTTATTGGTGCTCTAAGGAGAATACAGATTGTTCAGTTTGAGTCAGAGAGATGTCAGGAGGGCCTTGGTTAGAGACGATGTGAGCAGCGTTTGGTGGTCCTTTTCACTCAGTGCCGTTACAGCTCAGTCTGATTACAGAACAGCAGGAACATCTTCCTCAGTGCCAAACACACAGTGCCAAGCGGCTGCAGCTGATCCCGAATCAGTGGCTTATTATCAGAGAGGAAGCTGGGAGGGGGGAGGATGGGGATTAATAGTGAGGAGAATGGGAGTGCCTGCATTGTCACAGGCTGCAATAATGAGTGCAATTTCTGTTTTGGAGGTGCAATTTGATAATAGCATGCAATTTATGTTTGAAAGCAAGATTTTCCTTCCACCGGCAGTTGAGGAGCTTCCTGCTCTGTCAGGAAAGAAAGGCTTTGTAGGTGAAAGGGAGGGCCATCTGATGAAGGAGAGGCTCAAATGACTTGAAGGGTTTCGTGGGAGAACTATGTGCACCTTTTTCTGCGTGAAATTTGAGCCATTTTCTAAGAAACAGCATTAAGATTATGCCTCTTTTTTTAAATGTCAAAATGTAATCTCAATTTATGTCAAAATCCATGAACCAAAAACATTGTGTATTTTTGCAGTGCAAATCTTCACATTGGCCAAGGTTTTCCAGCAAGGTAAAACATATTGTAATGTGCTCTATGCACTTTTCTTTTTTACTCTTCACAACCCTTAATTATGTCACTTTGGAGTCTCATCTGACGTTTACAGTTTGTGTATCCTACCCCC